AAGGATAATTTTTTTTTTTTTTATCCATAACATTTAAATTAATATTGTGATCTATTATTTTAATTCCTACATCTAAACAATGTGCTTCTACTTCAGAAATTGAAGTGTTTTCAATTTAAAATTCTACTGGATAAATAATGTTAAGTAGAATTATTTATCCCAGGGTTATTTATACTAATTAAGTCATCAATATATACAAATATATGTGCTATATACACACTTGCACAAATAATAAACAAATGGGTATGAAAGTAATTTTACAACACTACTTTAGGCATAGCTATTACACTTATCAAGTACATTAAAGTGCAAAGGTGAAGGTCAACAAAATTGTATTGCAGTTTTGTGGCATTAAATTTTAATGATAAAGCTTTATATTTCATTTATTTGTGTAGAAAATCTTTAGGTGTGTTATATTCTGATATGATTACTTATCTCCTCTCACAGTTACAGCTATTCTCAACTTGACTGCACTCTAGTGCACAAATTTTTGCTTGCCACTAGCCCTGAACTCCTACCTAATTCCACTTGTATACCATGTGGTTCAGCTGTGTTAAAGCAGGCAATTTAGTCTTGATATCATAGGTATGTTGTGTTTTGTCTTTATTACTCATGTCATTTGATGCCTCACACTGCCTTATTAACTGCAGCACCAGGTTCTGAGTTTTTGATTTACCCCTTTGCCTGATTTTGGGGTTCATGCCAAATGTTTTAGAGATCAATTATGTGTGGGGGTTATTATGCCGTGCCCCCCATGTACTGCAGAGGTTCATGCACTTGCATATCATTATTCAATAAGTCCTTTCTTGATGGACAGCAACATGGCTTCATTAGTTGTCATCCATTCACTTGTTGTCTGAGGGTTGTCGCTCTCCCAAGGGTTTTTCAGTGGAAGCCTGTACCCTTCTACTTCAGATTGTCTTCGTCCGCCCTTTCCCTCCACACTTGGCTCCTGTATTTCTGGGCTCTCTTGGGTCAGGAGGCTTTGTTGAAACATCTGCATCTACCCCCGACTTCCTTGTGAGATCTTCTATCAGCCCCTTTTCAGAGATATACGATCTTTGGTGGGCTTCAAGACATCTTGGAGTCTCATACTGAATCTGCTAGATTGCACACTTCCCTTATTTCCCAACCTCCTCCTCCATTGCCTGTTTTCCATCCTCCTCCTTCCACTAATTTACCAGTTCCTCCTTCCCAGACCATGTCAACATGTCATACCATTGTTCACTAATGCCCTGTATCATATCAGCATTACCAGTGACTACCCTATGGATTTGGGTCCTGTGTGAGCCAGGTTTTCTCATTTTTCAGAAGTGTGTTACATTTTAACCACTGACCCTTGCGTCATTCAAGTTCTGTCAGAAAGACTATCCCTCCTTTTCCTCACACCTCCTACCTTAGCCCCTGTCCCAGTTCCTCTCCCCTTAAGATTCTGTTTTACTATACACAGGAACTTGGTATCTCCTTCTATGATTCATTCTGTCAACTCAGTGGTTGTCTCTTATATCACCAGTCCAGGAAGCATTTGCCATTGGTCTTAGGATGAGTTAAGTCTTCACATCAACCTTTTGGTACTCCTTGCTGTTCATGGGGCGATGGTTCATTTTCTGTCATCTCAGTGGGGCGTGACAGTTATGATTCATTCTGTCAACTCATGTTGTGGTTCAAGTCCTTCTCATCAAGGGTGTCATTGAACAGGTTTCGTCTGTGCTTCCTGTGTTCTTTTCCTATTTATTTTTGTCATCTCCAAGAAGACCTGGGATTGTGTCTTGTGATCGATCTCTCCCATCTGAATTGTCATGCCTCAATTCACCATAGACCCCTATCTATCTCACAGATAGGCCTTTCTTCTAGAACTTTGGATGACGAGATTCAATGTTTGTCCGATGTTTATCATTACATCCCTATTGCTCGAGCTTCACATCATTTTGTATGTTTCATCCATGAAGATCACGTTTATTAATTCTGAGCTCTTCCTTTTGGGCTGACATCATTACCCTATGCTTTCTGTTGGGTGGTCTAGTCATTTGCTCAATTCTTTCATTCTTGCGGGCTCAATTTCCATCATTTTATGAATGACTCGCTCCTTCTGGCTCCATCCTTTGCAGAGTCTTCCTCACACACCCAACTTCTCCTCAAAGAAGTTAATCAGATGAGTTGGCTTATCCAGGTGGAGAAGTCCATTATCCACCCCACTCATTATGTTGTTCATGTGGGGTGTTTTTCAGTGGACATCTCAGTGGAGCCCAGCTTTCTCTTCTTCATCTGCAATCCATGGAGTTTTTAGTTCAGAGGACACTATCAGCACCTTCTCTCCCTGCATGAGAGGTTCTGCTTTTTTTGGGGGGTCTTGGGCAACACTGGAGGCTCTTATCCCTCTGGGCCAAGTCCACATGCATTCCTCAACCCCAAGTATTCTGATGGCTATGTTCTCAGTTGGATACTCCCCAAATGGGTGCATTTGCCTCTCAATTTAATGCCAAGCTTATTCTCTTTTGGTCCCCAGTTTCACATCCTTTGGTTTTGGCTGTGAATGCATTCAGTCAGGAATGGAAGGACCTTTCCTTTATGCATACCCTAGTATCTGTCTTCTACTTTGAGTAATTTCTCTCATCCAATCCACCCGATGGTGGGTCTTTCTGGTGTCTCCTTTCTGTCCAGCTCGACCATGGGTTCTGTACCTCTTCCTTCTCCTGTTTCCTTCTCTGGCAACCTCATTCAGGGGTGCTTTATTTCTCCATTCCCACACTTTGGCTTCTTGTGTAGCTTTTGCCTGGTCCATTGTGAAGGGATTGGGACTATCTACACACTGTCTCACACCGTCCTGTCCTCATCCACGCCTGTGTATCAATGGGAGTGGAAAATATTCTTACATTAGTGTATGTGGCATGAATTCTCCCCTTTCCTCAGATATCTGTTTTTACATGGTTGTTTGACAAGGATCTGTACTTTTCAACCATTATGGGCTATAAGGTGGTCCTGTCATCTCCCTTCGTTTTTCCCGTTTGTCATGTGATTTTCTCTTCAATTATTTCCCTTCCTTCCATATCCCATAATTACTCCTTCTCTGATCCAGATCATTTCCTGTGTCCGGTCCATGCTTTTTTGGTGTTACGTGTCATGCACAGCATGCTTTCTGTGGCTCTTGCTCCCGTTTGTTTATCCATTGGAATCCATCCATTTCATAAAAAATTCTATCACCCTTACAGGTTGGGTTTGTCAGGTTATCCATATTGCATATTCCTCCCTCTCTCCTGAACCTTGTTCTGTGTATCATCCCATATAATCCATCACCTCCCAATGTTTTTGGCTGTTCATTTCTGTCATTCATTGGAGGAGATTATCCAGGCCAGCATGTGGACCACTCCCTACGTCTTTGTGTCATGCTACTTCCACCATCTGGTGGTTTCCTGCTCATCTTCCCCCTGTAGCTGTTCTCCATACATTGGTACAACTCTGAGAGGGTAAGTTATTTTTGTTTCTTTTTCTTTCAGCAGCCTACTTAACATGTTATGGATCCCATTCTGTGGTGAGTGGTGCCTGTCCAGGTATACTGATATCCAATATCTGCACTGTGAGATCTATAAGGTCTATCATGCTCACTGTTGAGATTGGGTATTCCACAAGACCACTTGCAGGTTCTTCTTCTGTATATTGAATTCCCAATGGCATTTGATTTTGGACTGGAATTGACTCTCCACATTTCATTTCCATGTTCTTGATGTTATGCGGACCACTCCCTACGTCTTTGTGTTATGCTACTTCCACCATCTGGTGGTTTCCTGCTCATCTTCCCCCTGTAGCTGTTCTCCATACATTGGTACAACTCTGAGTGGGTAAGGTATTTTTGTTTCTTTTTCTTTCAGCAGCCTACTTAACATGTTATGGATCCCGTTCTGTGGTGAGTGGTGCCTGTCCAGGTATACTGATATCCAATATCTGCACTGTGAGATCTATAAGGTCTATCATGCTCACTGTTGAGATTGGGTGTTCCACAAGACCACTTGCAGGTTCTTCTTCTCAGTATATTGAATTCCCAATGGCATTTGATTTTGGACTGGAATTGACTCTCCACATTGCATTTCCATGTTCTTGATGTTATCCGCATGAACATTCATGGGATTTGTTGTTCCAGGTTGTGTTGGATTTATAAACATGTTGGTTAGGTTCTCAGAATGGAGGCACTCGAGGGATGATTACTTGAGGACCCTTATTCTGCCAGGGGCAGGTCCAGCTGACTTCCTCCCAGTGCCACTTGTCTGGCCTGGAGTTGAACTTCTGATTACAATCCAACACCCCCTAGCCATTCTACACACATTCCTCTACCTTTTGGATTTGGGATAGATCTCTTGTTCTGCCCTTTGATTGTGACACAACACTAGTTGGCTCCACTTGGATGAAGAGTATACCTGGTTCAAATGTGGTGTGGTCTCCCACAGGTGTGTTTCTTGTAGATAAAGGTGGCATACTCAACGGGTGATCTTCAGATGCTTTTGAATGGCACTTATCTATGTAATTTTACACCAGTCCCTCCACCTTCTCATTGTGGGATTCTAGCTGTAACTGTGAGAGGAAGTAAGTAATCATATTAGAAGTTAATATTTTCCTACACTGAAAATATATTTCTGATAGATACTTTCCTCCTCTCAAACTTCCCACCCGTTGTCCCCACTTCCAATGTTGTTTTTCATGCCTAATCTTGAAGTGAAGACTGGGTTCAACTGCATAGAAGAAGTCAGTTGTAGTAGGAGGGTGGGTTGCACTCCTGTTGGTGCAGGGTTGTGTATGCTAACTTGCATGCTTAAATGCAGCTGGAATTAGGTTGAAGTTCAAGGATAGTGGCTAGTAAACATTTGTGCACAAAAGGGCAGTAAAATCGAGAATAGTGTAACTGTGACATGAGGTAAGTATCTATTGGTAATATATTTTAAGTGTAGGAAAATATTAACATTTGGGGCACAAGATTAAAAAAACTGTATTTTACCTTTCTTGTGTCTCAGGTCCTTCACCTGTAATTGCATCAACCAGTTCTTTTTACATCTCTGTTGGATGTGCAAGTGTTTTAATTGTTGTAATGACAGCAGTAGCAACAACTTGCTACATACGGAGCCAAAATGCACGCAGGAGACACACTGCCAAGTAAGTTAGTGTTTGAAATATTTAATTTCAAGGACTTTCCATTTTCAAACCTCTTATGTAGTCTTAATTCTTGTATGCTAAGGGTTTCTGAATCAGAAGCCTTTATTTCTTCAATCATATGTATATACGTGTATGTATATAAAATCTGTTTTTATTATTTAGGTTCAATAAGGTTTTCTGGTTCTTTAGCTCATTTACAAAACTATATTTGCTGTGTATTTATATCTTACATTTTAAAAAATGAGAAGTGTCTACAGTAAATAGTGTGTTTGGACATAATTTAGCATTTTATGTTTTATTTTGGTAGTTTGTAGTTACTTAGGATGGCTTCTTACTTGTTTTAAAATTCAATCTTGTTTTGTAAACTCTTCAGAAAGTCTTCTTACTTGTTAAGGCTTACAGAAATGTTTCATTAGTCTTTCTAAAAGTTTCTGTAAGAAAGTACAGGCTCAAACAGTATTTTGGGGCTAAATCATTAATAAGTTTTACTTGAAAGAATTCAATTATCCATAAAAAATTAAAATAATAATCAAATTACAAGGGGTGATTAAACTTTATGTCTTTAGCAATAACAAAAACTTTCATTGTTAAATCTTCATTAAGGCTTTAAATATATCAGTTTGAGGTTTCTAGTTAACTAAAGATCAAGGAAGTAAAAGGGCTAGCATGTGATAATTCCATAACAGATCTGGAAATAGTTGATGTAAAGTGGCCATTTGCAGATTATTAAGACTGGGAGCTGAGAATGTTAATCATGACTGAATTTATGGAATCTATAACAAATATAACTTTATGCTTTTTTCTAATAATTATAGTCTTGAATCATTATAAGGATGAAAAGAATATTGTTATAATCAACTTATGTAAACTTACATAATTAGTACAAAAGTGATGGTAAGCTTATGATTTTCTTTCCCATTTCTAAAGTGATGTGTAGTCCATGAAAACAATACAACTATTCTTCATTCTTGAAACTAATCTAACCAAGTAACAATTTGACATTGTTAATTGTATTCTGGAGTAACAGCTGTTATTCACACAAAGGACATTTTACAGTATATTTATTTACATAAAAACTGTCACTTATGAATTAAAACACAAGATAAATATATCATAACTTCACTTAGGTATTACCTACACTCCAAGGAAAAATGGTACAAAAACTTGACCAGACCAAGAAAGTATAAGGTCTCTGGAATGATCATTGTTGCATATAACTTAAGTCTGACGAGAGGATTAAAACAAGCTGATGATTACAAAGAACAGAACATCTGCATAGAAAAGTTTGAAAACAAATATTCATGAATAAAGATACATCTGCATGTTACTTTCTAAATACTCATCTTAACCACAACATAAAAACCAAACTAAATATATATAGCCTCTCATAGCCACATGTAAGTTAAAATAACTTAAACTACCTTTGAGAAAAGTACCTAAATCTGGTATTTTAATTTTGCTGTTAGTATTCAAGTTTGCATTTCTTGATAATGAAACATAGCATCTCTAGGTAGATTTATTACAAACCCTAATAACACAGGCCTGCAATGGTTTTATTGTCTTGATATTTTTACATGTTCTACAGTAATTCCTATACACTGAATCCAAAAATGATATCCATTTTTCTCCATCACATACAGATTTTTCACAAAACATCATAATGCAATACATAAAAGAAAGATCACAACATGTAGTTTTATGACTAAAAGACATGGATTTCACCAAAAAAATCAGGATGAATGAGGATGCATATTTGTTTGACATCAATGTTCTTCTATTTTCTTCAGTTTGTTTGTATTTTTGTTAACAAACATAATAATAAAAAATGTTCATTGTGGTAGACATTTATTTATTTCATTCTAAGGTTATTATTCCTAAGAATAAATTATTTGTTATCTCTAAATTTGTGTGTTCTGGCTGTGTGGAGGGCAATGTAGGCTCTGCCACTGGATGGTTATTTACTTGTATAAAAAAACAACAACAAATTTCTAGAAATCCTGAGAACTTAAAAAGGAAATGGATTGACAATATGCAGCATCACTGTCACAAATGTCATCTTTGCAATAAGTAGTAGAGGTGGAAAAACAATAACTGAGGATCCAAGAAAGTCTGGTGCTTTTTAAATTGGAATCCATTTTAAAGAAACAGAATTTAGCACATTTGCTTCACTTCAAACTAAGATTATTATAAATGTTGAATGACTAAAATTTCCTTTAGAACCATAGAACCATAGAACCTGAAAGATAATTATGAAAAATATTACTTCAAGAAAGGACTTTAGAAATACATTTATTAAGTAACAAAGAAAAAAAAGAAAATGTTGTGACTTATCATTTTTCCAGAAGTCTAAATTAATGGTTGCATATTGTAGTGGTACTGTTCACCTTTCAAATGTTTACTTGGATGGCAAAACGTTTTAGATTGCATTTGCTTGGTGAGTTGAAGATGACAGTTTGAACTATTGTAAGCAAGATTTTCATCACTGACGGCTTGATGAAGGCCTATTCTAGCATCTTGAATCATTGTTCTCAACTCTATAGGCAGATGCAGTCCATAAAAATTTCAAATCCAGTGCAGTTTCCTCTGCCTAAACATTCTCTCAAACAATAACAAATGTTTACTTACCTTTTGCTAGAGAATGGGATTCTTCTTGCAAGTGTTTTGTAGGTTAAACTGAAATTAATGTTATTTTTCTAAGAAACTTTGTCATTTCATGATTATGTGGCTATTGCAGGTTGTGTTAGTTGTTTTCATATTTTTGCATGATACCCATACCTTGTATATTGATTCTTAGTTGATAAAACTTTACATCCTATTGTGAATCTAAAGTATGTGTCTTAGTACATAATAAGCACAGCAGTATAGTCAGAAAATTATTGTCTCATACTCATGCCTTATATCTTCTGACAGTATTAGAGATACAATGAATGTGCATTAGGAGAGTTTATTTTATGACTTAAAATGTTATCTTGTAGGTTCCTTAAACAATATTTTTCATTTTCTGAATAATATGTGAAAACTTGTGTGGGTAATAATAATTTGTCTTACTTAACTTAGAAAAATATTCTTAATGTATGTCAGATATAAAAGACTGTTTAATGTAGGTAGTATTATTAATTAATTTGTTTTGTGTTTGTAATTCATTGATGTTGAGGCTATAGAGATTTCTAGAAGGCCTAAGTGATAGACGTATAAATAGCTGCAACCAGACAAACAGAAACAGAGGGAAAGTAAAAAGTAACGTCACAGGAAAAATAAGTTTGGAGAGAGAGAAAAGTTAGAAAACACAAAATTAACTGTCATATGAGTGAAAAGCCCAACGGTTGATATGTTAGAGGTTAGAGTGAGATTAATAGTTTGAAAGAGATAAGGAGAATAATTTATCTTGTCAAATGGTGTTTTAAGCTAATTGAACCTGCCTGTGTGGACTTTGATAAAAAGCAGATGATTATTTGGAAGCACAAAAAAAGCAGACGATTATTGAAAGTACAGGATACAACTGCAAAAACTCACATGACAGCATAAGTGAATTATATACGGATACTATTGTGAAAAAAATAGAGAAAATTTGATCGGTTGTCAACTGAATTCTAAAGCAATTGAGTTTGATTAAATGGACTTTTGACAAGAAGAAGAGAATTGTATAGTGTTTAAGATACAACTATGATCACCATAGTATAAAGAATTTTGTATGTACGTTGAACTTGTTTTTAAAATATATATATATATATTATTTTAAAAAACAAGTGGAGTGCATGCTGTTTGTTTTTTGTAAAATTTTTTGCCAACAAGTCACAGACACTTACTGTAGAAGAATCCTTAGCCCAACACATCCAAATACTTACTTTACTACATACTACTAAAAAAAGTAAGTTTCTGACAATGTACAATTTTTTTTTCCACTTGTAAGTTACTATTATTATTTATTGAATGCTTAACATCTCATTAGGTATGATATTAGAAAATTTTCTGCTTTATCTTTGTTGCCAACAGCTACAGAAGAGATTCACCAAGGAATGTTTCCTCTCAATGCCAGACCTTCTTGCGGGTAGACACACCAAACAATGCAAACACAGTAGAAAGTGAGTTTCTTAGTTCAGACATATAGTTGTTAAATTCAGTTTTTTTATAAAGTCAATACCAGTTCATTCAATTATGATTTAGGTATATAATGTAAATATATATTTTGTGTAATTTAATTTCATTACTAATATTGTTTAAATTAATATATTTCCTGACTAGAACAAAACTTTAATTATGTTTACTCCTTTATTTTCAGACTATTCTAGTTTTCAACGCCTGCCTTCTTTGTCAGTTAATGCACCAGTACAAGTAAACAATCTGCGAGCATCTGAACTCACAGAAAAGATTCGTGAGATAGATGTTGAAAGGAAAAGAATAATTTTACATGAGAAACTACAAGAAGGTAAAATTTTCAGGATGTGTCTAATGACCGTGGACTTTAATTCACAATATTTTATTACACGAAAACTACAAATAGGTAAAAATTGTTCATGATTGTATTTTAAGGGCAAAAATAAGGAAAATATTTATATACCTTTTCACAGCTTTCTCAATATTGGTCTACTGCAGGAGGACTTTTTCTGGTCTTTTCACAACTTTTGAACTCTATGATCTGATAGATGGCTTTGTGATGGGCTTACCTTCACATCCCTATGTGTATTCACCACTGTTTTTCTTGGTTATTTGAGGAAACTACAAATCCACAGGGTAGATTTCTTGGCCAATCATATTGCGAGGTGTACAATAATTTTATCTGTTCATGCCAGTCAGGTGCCATGGCCAACTCTCCAATATCTGCAACTTTGAGGCTTAGGTTTCGTGGAAGTATGTGTAACTACCTGGAAAACTATGAAATTTTGAGCTTACCTTATCAAGGACTTTATTGGAATGCAATCACTTTTTCTTTACCTGTAATAACAAATATACCTGGAATGCAATCACTTTTTCTTTACCTGTAATAACAAATATACCTGGAATGCTCCCTTACCTACAAAAATCCACAATATCCCAATTGGCTCAGATACTGGGTGCTAAACTAATAACTTTACTTATCACACTGAAGACTTGAGCTTGAAAGGGTGTGAGAATAGAGAGAGCTAAGCATTTTATACAAACTTACTTGCATCTCAGAGCATGGGTACTATCCATATCACGGTTGGTCATTCCAATAGAAAAATAATGGAAGATTTATTCTTAAGGTATCACTTAATCTGCCAGTGTAAAATATCATTATCCACTTCTACATAGCATTTCCCTTTACAGGAGGATCCCCATCACACTGAATATATGCTTGCTTTATCAGCTGTGGGGGCCATTATAAGGTGTTGGTCAATCCCACTATTTGTTGGTAAAAGAATAGCCCAAGAGTTTGTAGTGGATGGTGTTGACTAGCTGTCTTCCTTCTTTTCTATCACTACTAAATTAGGGACAGCTAGTGAAGATAGCCACTGTGTATCTTTGTGCAAAACTCAAAACAAACCAAACCTTTTACAGGAATCTTTCCCTCAAGAAAGTGCATGTTATGCCCTGGTTGAATGACCCAGTTAAGTAGGTAATTAAGGTGAAGAAGAATTTAAATACTTCCTTGACTGACATTCTGTATTGAAATTTCCCACTGTATTTATAAACATTTTAAACATTAATATTAAATAATGGAGTAGTAAACATGTCATATGCATTCATACTACCTATGTATGCTAAAGTTTAATACGTTATTTTTAGCATATTTTTGATACTTAAAAAGTGTTAAAATTGTATTTGCAAATTTAATTAACCTTACTAAGGTTAAAACTCCTTGTAAAATACACTATAAACCAAGTATATTACCATTTGCATGCCTTTACTATAAAGTAAATATTGCTGATAAAAAGTATGATCTTACAATACAATGAAAAAGTTTTACCTCACAAAACATTCTTAAGAAAAATTACCTTGCAGTACATTCTTTCTGAAGAAGTATTATCTTACAATATTCAGTGATAATCTTTTGTTTGTACATCATAATGATTCCTTATCAGAAGTTATTTTGAATTGCTTTAACTTATGTTTAAAATATCTTATATTAATGATTTTGTTTTGTATAAACAGTTGATTAAATTTGAATGGTATGATATAATGCATGATTTTTCATAAAGGTATATTTATAGACGACCAACTGGCAGAAACTAATTATACATCTAACAGCTAACTTACACTTGTAACCATTGATTAATTAATTTTTCTGTTACATCCTAATGCACAAAATGATTACTTATACTACAAGTTTTCTCCTGATTAATTTTATTGAAAATACCGAAGACCAGTGTTAAAACAATACTTTTTTTTCAGAAACACACTGTCAAATATTGTTAAAAATACTTTATTAAAAAATATAATCAGAGTTAAGAAGTTACTCAGAACACATTAAGTACTAAAAGTACATGTTTAATTATACTTTTGAAGATCATATCATATGTTACATAATTAAGCCAAAATTTACTTGAAATTAATTAGTATAATAACATTAAAAAGCCAATGCTTTTTTGATTTAATTGAGCTCTCAAAGTCTTTGGCCACAAGTTATTATTTAAGAAAAAATGAATTATGTAAATATTTTTTCCTTTAGTAATTTGGAGCAAAGCAAAAACAAATTACTCTTAGAAAGGTTTTGAGATTTTAATTTGACTTTTAATAATTAATGAGTGTTAGAATACTTAAATACGTTTTGTGTAAAAAACTTAATTGATTTTCATGTGGAGTGATGGTAAATTAAAACCAACTGCAAAGTTCTATTTTTTGTCAATTTTAATATCTATATTCTTGTTAATTCAAAGGAACATTTGGCCAAATTTACCATGGGGTGTTGATAGATGATGGAAATTGCATGAAACAGGCAACATTTGTGAAAACTGTGTCTGGTAAGTTCTGAACCATAGTGAATAGTTAGCTTGTAATTTAGAATTCCTCAGAACAATATCTAAGTTATGAAACTCAAAGTGTGTGACCCAAAATTGACAACTTCTAGAAATATAAGTTTTTGACTTCACTACCTCAGTGAGATGTTAAAACCATGGGTGCACACCTATTGAAGTGATTGAGCAGCTAAGAACTTTTTAAACAATGTCCATTCTCCAGTACTTAATGTTTAATTATATATCAGACACTAAACCTCCAAAACACTTGAAACTGCATAGAATCATTTCAAAATGTCTCATAATGCTTCAAATGAACAATACCTTTCTTTGCCTTGTGCTTTTGGCTTTATAACTATTCTTGTAACAGAACTATCATTATCGTTGTTTCATAAATGTTGACACCACTTTTTATTTCCAGAGCAGGCATCTAAAGACCAAATCTCACTGCTTCTATTTGAAGGAATGAGAATGTATGGAACAAATCATAAGAATGTGTTACCAATCATCGCCATATGTATGGATAATGTGCAGCACCCTCTTTTGGTCTACCCATTCATGAACCAAGGAAATCTAAAGCTCTTTCTTCAAAAGTGCAGGTTTTCAGTTGAAGGCCACTTTCATGTAAGCTAAAATAACTTACAAAATCTAAGCCTTTTTTTTTTAGGAGGGCATTTTTTTAGCTCAATCCCCATGGTAAATCTAATGATAGAAGAAGTCTAAATTATATTAAAATTAAAAATTCAGTAATTAAATAAGGGAACAAAAACTATTCAAGTAAACTTGGTCACTTTCACAGACTCTTCTTACCCAAGACCTTGTTGGCATGGCAATCCAGATTGTACAAGGAATGATTTATCTTCACAAGAAGAAGATTATTCATGGTGACCTAGCCACCAGGAACTGTGTGTAAGTAACAGATTTGTTTTCTCTGAAGTGAACTATTATCAATTTAAATTACTATGCTTGTAAAAACAAAATAGGATTTTACTTTCAACTTATGCTTCCATCTTCTAAAGTAACATAGCAGCTCTCAGGGAAGACTGTAAACTTATTTCTCTATTCTGTTTAACACTGCAGGAATAATTGATAACATATATTGAAAATACTCATATTAATTGAATATTAATATAATAGTGACCTAAACTGAAAATCTAACAGATACTTGGCAAAACATTCAATTGGTCAAGTCTAAAACTCTTTCTAGAAGCATATCTATAGTACAAAATAGATTCCTATTTGATTTAAACAACAGCATGATAATTACTGGTAGCCTGAAAGAAAACTACTTCAAGAATTAATAAAATGAAAAATGTTAAATTGTTTATTAGCCCTTTTTATATTGTTTTTCAACAGCTGTTACTCTAACACTAATGTGTTATTACTTAGTACTATAGTCATGACAATCACTGCATTCAGCACTAGAATATTGTACATCCTACCATGTGATCACATGGCAATTTGAAAAGGAATACTGTCCATTGTCATCACTGAAACTCAATTATCCCTATCTTTAATCTGTATGTGCTCTTGTTCAAAGTTTATTATTGATTCAGTTGACTTTTTAAGAGTATCAACTCCTTATTGATGTATTGTTTCTTAATTTCAGAGTGGATGACAGGTTACACGTGAAGATAACAGACAATGCTCTTTCTCGTGATCTATTTTCAAGTGACTACCACTGTCTTGGTGACAATGAAAACAGGCCCATTAAGTGGCTTGCACTAGAGAGCTTACTAAAGAAAGAATTTTCTGTAGCAAGTGATGTTGTAAGTAGTCAAGATTTTATTGTGTCCTGCACAAGATGCCCACAAACAATAGATGTTTTAAACAACATTGTTTTTTTAAAGTTTTGGTGGAAAAAATTTGTTAAGGGCAGCTTATATAAATAAGCTTATTTATCAGCCTTGTTGTAAAATAGTTCAGATATATCTTATTTGTCTCGTGTAATTTCACGTAAATACCATTCATGTGATTTTTTAAGTAATCATTAAAATTATGGACACAAACATACACATTTTTATTTCATACAAATATAAAGTTTTCAAATATTTTAGTTTTGTAATTGCAATGTTTTTATTTTCAAACATGCTGCTAATGAGCTGTAGAACTGGGTATTTTTGTAATCAAGTTATTACACTATTTTAGTTAGTTTATTTCCATGCATATTCATATTTTTATTTCAGTGGTCATTTGGGGTCACTTTGTGGGAACTAATGACCCTTGGCCACCAGCCTTACATAGATATAGATCCCTTTGAAATGGGAGCATCACTTCAAGATGGCTATAGACTTTCTCAGCCTATCAACTGTCCTGATAAGCTGTGAGTGTAGACTTTTTTTCAGACAATATCTTGTTATAATATACTCCAGTATAAAACATGAACAGTGCCAATTACAAGTTTTGCTGGAATTATAATGTAATTGAAAATACTGAAATAATATTTTTTCAGTAAATATTTTCTTTTTGGAGTCTTGCATAAGTGTAAATTTATTTTTAATATTAGTTAATACCCTGAATAATTCTTATACATAGTACCATCAACTAATGCAAATTTTGTCGAGTTTTGTATCACATTCTGTGTTTTAGTAGTATATTGGTAAGAGGTGTTTCACTTTATGATTACCATTAACAAGCCAGTTACATTAATAAAATGATGACACTATTAGGCAATTATAAATGCCATGTAGACTAGTAACAAGCCAGAATTAACAATATGTATTCTTTGAACTAGTCGCCAGCTGTATATTTAGAATTAGGCAGTTGTAGTTAACAGTAAATGCCATGTAAACTAGTAACAAGCCAGAGTTGAATAATAAATACCCTGTGAACTAATAGCCAGCAGTATTTGTAGAATTAGGTAGTTATAACTAACAATAAATGCCATGTAAACTGTATAAGCCAAAGCATTAACAACGTAGTTAAAGTTGCTAATTAAGGCTTCTTTCAAAATTAGTTTATATTAGTTTTCATTGGCATTTCTTATTTTAAAAAATTGAATAAAATTATACACTAATCAGACTATATGATTAATGATGCCATATAAAATAATCATAATGGTATTTATTCAACTTACACAAATTGTATTTATTGGGCATCATAAAAATATTGTATAGAACAACAAGATTTCACACTAATTCTTTAACTCCATTATTGCAGGTATGAGTTGATGACCCTCTGTTGGGTATCTGCACCTGAGAAAAGGCCCAGTTTTTCCAAGTTATTTGTATTTTTTCAAGATTTTTACAATGACTTAGGACTTTATGTTTGATTACTTTTATAGACATGCATAAATTAAATATGACAATGGAAAAAGTGGTATCAAAGAAACTCATGATGAAATGTAATTTTATGATAACCTTCACACAGTGTGCTAGTACTCTTTGGCATCCAGTGCTCTTGTCAACAAGTGCAATGAGTGATATTAGGAAAGATATTTCTCCAGCCAACACAAATCGTCTTTTATGGGCCAGTGATGAGTTTGTGGATTTATGGTGCTTAAATCCAGGGTTTGCTTTGCAATGGTGAACAGTGTGCAAATATTACTTTGTATAGCTTTGCGGTCAATATCAACAAGCAACACAAATTAGCATGAAATGAAGCAAACAGTTTAAATAAGATCAGGATAAGTGTGAAGAACTGTGTTGCTTTTTGCTACAAAAATGATCTCTCATTGGGTGTTAAAAATAAGAATAAATCAGTTTGGTTGTCAAGTGGAAGTTTGTAACTGCTGTAATTCATTAAAAGAAAGAGCTTACATTGTATTTAATATGAAATTAAATGTTCCAAACCTATAAAGAATGTTTCAAGAGAGCTGAGTATTCTTGACGAGATATGGGAACTATTGAACAGGAGTGACACAGCATCATTTTATGTTTTCAGATCTTCCAGAAATGTTGATTGCCATTTTAATAAAACAACTATTTTGTTAAAGGATAGTCTTACCTGTTCATCTCTCTTAATCAGTTCAAATTAATGGAAAGCTAATTCAACATATCTATCTTTACAACCTTTTGTGAATAACAAGTAGTTACTTTTAAACTATTTCTATTCTGATATAAATGATACTATACTAAAAGTCCTGTTATTATGCCAAAGAAGAGAGGAATGAATGTATACTAAGTTTAAATTATCACGTTTATCTTTATATCAGTAAAGAGCATTACACATGCTGATCAGATCAATAAAGAGCATTTCACATGTTGATCAAATCATGCACAACCAAAATAGTGGAATGATCAGTGCCTCAGCTTTCACAGTTACAATAACTGACATCAAATCAAACATAAAAGACATTACCATGTAAAGACTCTAAAAGTGTTGAGTAAGATTTAACCCATTAACTGCGGATGACGGATATTTCCAACTTTGAAGTTCTACGGCTCAGCTGCAAATGATGGAAATATCCGTCAGTCGTACATATATAACTAGAACTCTATGCGAATGAAGAAAATTACCGTTTTATTGTGATTGATGGCAACTCAGTTTTATCTCACTCAGAAAACGGCAGCTGAGCTGCTCCTGCCGCAATTAATGGGTTAATCAATCTACACAAGTCATTAAAGACTGAATTGTAGGCATATCCACAGGAAGACTTCTACTACTTGAAATGTGGTAGACCAAATTAGTTTTAGGTGGCCCAACCTAAAAATAATCATATAAACAAATTAAATTATTCCATACAATATAACAGGAGTATGCGTTTATGTAATGTGCATAACTTACAATGTACTGCAAGTGTTTAAGTTCTTTTTTTTTATTACCTTTTCTTACAATCTAAATGAATCAGCCATGTGCAACACAAAATATACCCATTTTAAACTTGTAGATGGATTTTGATAGAGATATCTTTGAAACTTATATTTATTGAGCATTTGGAATCATATTGGAATATCCAGTTTGACTTCTTTATGAATGTATCTGATCAGAATAATTGTAATTAGTCTTTTGTTTGTAAGAATTATTCCATAAAAGCCCAATTTAAAGATTTAAAATTGTGTAGAAAGTGTAGTTTGTATTTTACTACTGGCCTTCTAGCATGATTAAAAAAGTATTTTTCAGTATTTAAATGCACTTGTAAGACATTTTAGATCATAATTAATAAAATTTCTGTTTGTGTTTTATACTGAAAGAATATCAGTGTTAAAAAATGGCTCTCAAACTCACAATCTATTACCATACACTGAATATTACATTATTGTTTCTATATGTGTGAAAAGTTTTACTACAGTATCCTTGACCTTGTGTAGAAGAAAACTGCTAGAAATGTAAATGGTTTATAATTATTGTTACACTGATATTGTGAATGTATACATTTTACAAAAATAAAAATTTAATTTTCCTCTTTGGTTCACAGATTTGGAGCAAGCTGCTCTTCTTTTTTTCTTTATGTTTTTCAAGTTGAAAAAATGTAAAACCCATTAACTATACAAAATATAAAATCAATAGCTATATTTGTGTTCATGCTATTTTTGTTTGGCATACAAAACAATTTAAATGTAAAGAATATACTGGCTCAATTAAAAAATCAGTTAAGATCTCAGAACAAATTTTTCTTGCCCCAGCTTGTTGAAAGGTTTTTTTAGTTGTAGTGCAGATACTGCTTTAATGCTAGTCAATGCTTGTTGATTGTTTATAACCAGAAAAACAGTAAAAGTTTGATACATATCATGTATATTATTTACAGTTATTATGGTATTTCATGGTGTTTCTATAAAAATATTCAAAAATGCTCAATGAAAAATTTTTTCTATATGTTACATACTATGCCAAATGTATAAAGACACACACATATGTATGTATATACATAAAAGAGCCATGTCATTTTCGTTTTGCATCTTACATTTTTTAATGTACTTTGAACAAGTTCAATTTGTCAAGAATTTTAACATATAGAAGTTTATTCAAGCACAAATTACTGAAGAATAAGATATGTTTATATTCTTTTATAACTGTAAAAACACTGTTCAAATGTTAATGTAAGTTTCAAATAAATTAGCATACAAAAAGCATGTAAATATATGAATTTTTTAGAAACACTTGGATAAAACTAATAACATTATTTTTGATCATAAGAAACTAATATTTCCTACAACCTACATTCACAAATATATGTATAAAAGTCAGTGCTGCCCACTTTATACTCTATTGGATATTTTACTTTTTCATACTTTTTCAATGCTTTATAATTATGGTCAATATTTTATATACAACTGCATTATAAAATGTTGAAAGAATAACTGTTGCATTATAATTACACATATTTCAAACATTATGTGCAACAATACATTTAGTAACAAGTATTTTTCTGGTGTATGAAGTGTGTACATTTGCTTTTTTTTCAATATGAAAATACACTAGTAGACAATTTGCAATTTTCTTAGGAAAAGATCTTCCAGTAGCTAGGTATGTATGGTAAGACAGATTTAATTTTTATATTGTTTTAACAGGAGAGGAACATTTTTGTGCTTTATTTGTACTTGTTTTTTTCAGAGTGCTTGGGTACTTTTTCTTTTAAAACTGACATGCAGCACTGATAAATGTTAAGATTCTTAAATTTATTATTAATCAAACATAATGGCCCCTATTTCCAAGCACAACATTCCAGCTCCACTTGGTCAGGGGTCATGGTAAACAGTTCTTCATAAGACAGTTCTGGTAATTATTTTGCCAGCTTCTCATAGTTTTAATTCCATTTCCAAGAAATTTCTGTTTTTCCAGCTACTGAAGCAACAGGAATGATTATGTGCTGTATTTGTAAAACCTGAAACAAAATTGAAGAGTTCACCAAATGATTGAGTTGTTGTTTTCATGTCACTAAAATCAAATATTTTTTCATCACTGTATTTCAAAGATTGCAACAAAAACGTATTAAGACATTTTACATCACTGAAGAAAACATGGAAGCACTGGAGAAATATACTCGTTCTTCCAGTAGCTAAACCAGACACATTCATAAATCATAACAACATTCATTTATAACATTTATTTGTACAATATTCTTAGATGAAAATTGTTTTTATAGCCCACACTTACCATATAGTGTGAAATAAAAAAAAAAGGAACAATGGAACACTAAGTAAAAACAAGGAACTTTTTAAGACACTGCTAATCTAATTTTACAAAAGTGCAAGTCAAACTTTATTAGTTACAATAAACAATACTATTTGATTGGATATCCCATCAATTATGAGAAATTCAAAATTTACTTTCTTTTACATATTCAATTTTGTTCAATACTGTTTCCTTTGCTTGAGTGGGTGATGATGATATTTTTGTTGTGGGAGAGTTCTCAGTTGACATTTCTTCAGGTTTCAGACTTGAAGATATCCTTAACTAAGTTATGTTACGACAGCGGAAGTCGCGCGACGTTGGGAGCATGCTCGCTGGAGTTTCTAAAAGGATCGTGACTTATCGGGGAACCTCAAGAATATCCCAGTATTTGCTAGACGCCCTCTTTTTTATTATATAAAGGCAGACAGATTGAAAATAGAGATAATTGAGTCAAGCGAGCAGTCAGCACCGTAAGTAAAATGTGTGAATCGCTGTGAATTATAGCGTGTGTTTATAAAATTAGTTAAGTTTAAAGTGACTGTAG